GTCACCAGTGATGAAAAATGGATTCTCTATGTGAATATTAAACGCCAAAAACAATGGCTCAGTCACAGACAAAATCCACTTCTGACCCTAAAACCTGGACTCCATTCATAGAAAGTGATGCTTTGCATTTGGTTGAAAATTAAAGGAGTAATTAATTTCTAACTCCTCAATCCACAGTGAACTGTCAATGCAGAGATCTATAGTCAGCAAATGGAATGTTTAAATCAAGCCCTTCATCAGAAACACCCTTCATTCGTCAATCGGAAGGTTGTTGTTCTTCTCCATGACAATGCACGTCCACATGTGGCACGTTTGACGCAACACAAGATTATGGAGTTGGGTTGGGAAGTTCTCCCCACCCACCATATTCTCCAGATATGGTACCATCAAATTACCATCTTTTTCATTCGCCGCAACACCATCTTAATGGGAAAACGTTTACAAATGTGGAAGGTGTTAAAGAGGACATCAACATGTTTTTTGCTTCAAAGCCAAGTGATTTCTTTAATCATGGCATTAACAACCTGGTTGTAAGATGGAAAAGCATCATCAATAAGAATGGAAACTATTTCATTTAACGTTTTGTTTTGATATATAAGTTGTTTGCGTTTTTTTATTTAAAAAAGCTACATTAATTTCTTGACGACCTAATACATGACTTTACAGTCACTACACATATATTTATACACGAGTCAACATAGAAGTTTAAGTGATTGATCTTTGTATTGACATAAGTTTTTAATGCAGATGCTAGGTGTGTATATTAGTCTGAGCTGAATTAAGGGTAGAAGTTTCTTATTAGAGAGGAGATTTGTTTTTTAATTTGTAGGAATTATGAACCCATAATTGCAGATAATGAGGGGAAATTTGGGGATAGTGTGCACATTGGCTGGTTGTTGGAATTTGTGGTTTAAGAAATTGCATGTAATCTGCATTAGAAAATCAGCTGAATAACCATTATTTAACATGTATTTGTGTAGAAGGGTAATTTGTTAGTGTAAAATAAAATAATTCAAAGATTAAAATTCTGATCAACAATGACATGACCAGATTATGTTGGAAGAAGTTGAGGATAAAACTGTTAAAACTGGTGTAGAGGCGTAAAAGTTCTTTTATGATAAATAGAGGTAGAGGAAGATTGAATCCATTTGAATTTCTATTAGTGGATATAAAGGATAAAGGCTTGTAGTGGTAATTAGTTACTGACCACCAAATGATATTGATTAAATTAGTGAGAAACTTTACAATGAGATTAAGATTTCAACTATTAATAAAGTCATAATTTGGGCGAGTTCAATTTCAGGCATATAGATAGGGAAACGCTGGAGTCAAACCATGAGGGAGAAATGGTTTTGGAAACTGTTCAAGATGGTTTTCTTCACCAATTTGTCAATGAACCTACTAGAAGCAATGCTATTTTACATTTATTGTTAACTTCTAATATAGAAATGGTTAAGAGGTTGGAAATTGGGGGAACATCTGGGTATAGGTGATCATTGCTCTGTTGGGTTTGATGTTTAACTGAATATGGAAACCAGGAATAATGATATTTTGGTTACCAATTTCAAATAAGCACATTTTGAAGGGATGTGACATGAATTATTTATTGTGAATTGGGCAGCTGAATTATTTTGAGACACTGATCAAATATGAAAAAGTTTTTAAATGTTCAAGATAAACATATTCCTGGCTGCAAGTAAAAAAAAAAAAAAAAACAATTTGGCTCACAGAGGCTATAAGAGATAAAATTATAGAAAAGCATCACAAGTTTAAGAAATTTAAATTGACTGGTACAATAGAAGATCAAGAAAGTTGGTCAAACAGGAAATTAGAACATCAAAAAGGATGTATTAAAAAAAAAGGTTAGCTGAAAATATAAAAATTAACAGTAAGGATTTCTTTTAAGTACGTTAAGGGTAAACAAAATGTTAAGATTGTGGTAGAACCCTTGAGAGATTATAAAGGAAGGCTTATATTTGTTGATTCTGAAATGGCTGGGTTATTAAATTCTGGTTTTTCTTCAGTTTCTGCTAATGAAGATTTAAGTAGTATTTCTCATTATATTGGACAATGATTGCATTGATTCTGAGCTTGTTAAGAAAACAATTGGGAAGTTTAAAGGATGATAATGCTCTTAGGCCAGATATTTCTCCAAGGGTTTTGAAGGAGGTTAGGGATTGGATATGTGAGCCATTTGCTACTTTTATAAGTTCTTGAATAGTGGGTGGGTGCCAAAGGATTAGAAGTTAGCTAATGTCACTCCTCTTTTCAATGGAAGTAACAAAAATTGTCCCAGTAATTGTAGACCCATTAGTCTTGCATCAGTTGTGGGAAAAGTTTTGTAAAGACTGATAAAAGATACTTTGCAAAGCCATTTAACAAAGTTTAGAATTTTATTTAAGAGTCAACATGGTTTCACTAAGGGAAAAAATCTTGGCTTACAAATCTTTAGACATTCTTTGAAAAGGTTAATACTTATGTAGATGAGGGTAAGTGTAGATTTGGTATATCTGGATTTTCAGAAAGCATTTGACAAGGTGCCACATAAAAGGCTTGTAAAAAATCTCTAATTGGATAGGAGAGTGGCTGGATGGAAGAAAACTGAAGGTTGTTACAAATGGAGTTCAGTCAAACTGGATTAATGTCACAAGTGAGGTACCTCAGGGCTCAGACTTAGGACATTTGCTCCTCTTGATCTACATCAGTGACATAGATGAAGGAATGGTTAATCAATTACTTAAATTTGCATTTGATATTAAGATCTTTGGTGTTGCTAATTGTGAAAAGGATGCTGCTGATTTACAAAAGGATTTAGATCATTTAGTGAGTTGGACAAATAAATGGCAGATGGGTTCTAATTATAATAAATGCAAGATAATGCATGTGGGTTATCATAATTTGAATTATAAGTATAATTTGGATGAGAATAACATTTATAGGGTTATGAAGGAAAGGAATCTTGGTGTAATAGTCAATCAGTTTCTAAAGCCATCCAAGCAGTGTGCTGTTGCTAGTGGTAGGGCAAGTAGGATTTTAGGTTATATCTTCAGAAATACAAAATACAAGTCTAAAGAGGTTATAATTTCATTGTACAGGTCTCTGGTTAGGCCATATTTGGAGTACTGTGCTCAGTCTTGGGCTCCTTACATTACGAAGGACATTGAATTGTTGAGAAGGGTTAAGAGGAGGTTTACTAGAATGGTTCCTGGGATGGAAGGGTTATCATATGAGGAAAGATTTGAAAGTGTTTTCTCTTGAAAATAGAAGAGTTAGAGAGGATCTGACTGAGATATTTAAGATTGTAAAAGGAATTGATAGCGTTGATGTATCATTTTTTTTTTCATACTTAACGGTGAAAATAGTAGGACTTGAGGGCACAAATATAAACTTTGCTAAGATAGGTGTCGTCTTCAGCTAAGACAGTCTTATTTTTCTAACAGGGTGGTTGGCGTTTGGAATGGGTTGCCTTCAGATGTTGTGTAGGCAGTAAATTTAAGTGAGTTTAAAAGAAGGCCTGATAACTATACAAATGATAAAGGCTGGCTTTAAGATTTTTTATTTATTTAGTTTTAGTTTAATTTAGATGATGGGTCAGTTGAGATGGACCAACAGGTCCTTGTTGTCTCTAAACTTTATGTGATCATGTAATGGACAGACTTTTACTTTGGAACATCATGATTTTTTATGTTTATCATTAATACAAGTGTTGTTTTCAAATATTTTTTGAAAATGTACAAACTGTACAAAGTGTTTTGACTTTTGAAACAATTTTTGATGTTTTATGCTTGTTAGTAGCTCAGGTAAACTTTAAGATTTTTATTAATTCACTTTAATTGCTAGTTAGAAGTCTTGTCAAATAACAAATGGTATTTAGAAATTAGCAATGAAACATAATTTTTTTTTTTTAATGAACACTTATGTCTTTCAAACCTCTATCAAAGGTCCATCTTCAGACACAACAGGAAGGAAAGATTAGCATTGTTCGTAACACTATTAACATTATTCGTTACCAAGGAGTTTTAGCACTTTACAATGGTCTCAGTGCTTCCTTACTCCGTCAGGTAAGTCTTTTAAACATAAATATATTTGTTTCTTAATTGTTAAAGAAAAAGTTAGTCAGGAGTTTTAGGGTTTCTTGTAAAGTATTTGAGAATTTTAAAAGATGCAGAAATGTTTGTGAAAGAAAATATTTAACTTTTTATCTGCGTATTTCTGTATTTTCAAAAACATTTGTGTTATGATTTGTGAAATATTTTACTTTCTGTTATGTATAGAAAGTAATGGTGACCACAAAATGTTTTGATGTAACCATATGGTTTGATTTTGAAATCAGAAAAGATTTGTTATTCAATATTATAAACACTAAGGACTAGGTAGTTGAGGCCGAATCATTGTGAGAAATACAGTTTTACAGTTGCTTATGTATGTATTTATTTTTTTTATTTTTTTTCAGCCTGTTTGATTTACGGATGTATTTTGAAATGTGTTGCTGTGATTTTGTATGGTACGTGCATGTGTTAAAACAACTAGTTTGAAAAGAGAGCAGAGAAGTCTATAGACTTTGTAATAATATGAGTACTCTTGACCGTTATAGAATCATATATTTCATTAACAGATGTTGCATGTTTACTTTTAGTTGACCTACTCTACCACGAGATTTGGTATTTATGAGGTAGTGAAGCAGAATATGACAAAACCAGGAGAACCATTGCCATTTTATAAGAAAGTTATGTTTGCTGCGGCTGCTGGATCTGCCGGTGGCTTTGTTGGCACACCTGCTGATATGGTAAACGTTAGGTAATGTATAACATGATACATTCGATGATAAGGAACCCACTTTGAGACCATTAATGGTTGGAGATGGCTTGAATGGGTAATGAAGAAAAACATTAACATAAGTTTAACATAACAGCAAATGT